TGGCTGGCTGCTCCTTGGCACTGGACCTGGGGTCGAATCCCCTCTGGAATGCAGCTTGGCCCCACAGAAAGAGCTGCTGCTCCAGGAATAGCAGAGGGCGGGCTCAGCAGCTGCTGCACTCCAGTTCCCAGCCAGCCTCAATGAGCGGCCGTTTTCTCTGGCCAGAGAATTCAGCAGCCCCGGTGGTGGAGCCAAGGCAGTCCCTCCCTGGCAGCAACAGAAGCACAATGCAATGGGCACCAAAGCTGACTGCTTGGCTTCGCCCGCTTCCCTCCCCGCAAAGATAAGACTGGCTCCCATCCTGGCTGTGGTTGGAAAGAGCTCTGAAGACCTGGCTCTTTCCCCAGGCTTTTTAGTGTACACTGCCCAGAGTTGTTGTAGAACTGGGCAACCTTAGAAACCCCTAAAACAAATGAATAAGTACACAGATAAAGGGCCTGTTCCATGTGTTCTTATGGCAGGAAGGTGGGAAGTCAATCGAGCAAACAGCTTCTGAACGGGAAGCACAGCAAGTCTTTTAGCCCGATGCCCCGAGAACAAGCAGGCAGGGGGTAAATTACTCGCTTTGCCAGTGTGCACATGGGAAGACCAAACGGTTCTCAATTAGGCAGCTGCTCCTGTTGTTGCTGCCCCAAGTCTTCCCCAGGAAAACCGGTCAGGCTGCAAACAACATGGTGCGTGTACCCGAAAGAGGAAGGGATCTGCCAGCGGCCAAGATGGTCCACTCTCTTTGTGTCTCACAAATGCCCCCCCACACACATGGAGTCTCCTCCAGGCCCCCTCAGCTGCCAGAGAGACTGGACTCCGGTGCATTGGGAGGACATAGTGCTATTCAGTATTCATAAAATATAAAATATCTAGGTAACGTGCATCCTGTATTGTGGTGGCCTGAACTGGACACACTATTCCAGGTGTGGCCCGACCAGTGCAACATAGAGCAGAACTATCACTTCCTGTGGCCTCAACATTTCACACCTCTGTTGATACAGCCCAAGATCACACTGGCTGCATTGCTGGCTCATGTTTAATCTGTGGTCTCCCAGGACGCCCAGGTCCTTCTCACACATACTACTGCTGAGCCGAGTATTGCTGTACACCTGTTTTTTCTACCTAAGCGCAGAATACGTTTCTATTGCTGGAGGGCCCAGTGTCAAGTCTATCAAGATCCTTTTTGACCAAACCATAATCTTTGCCAATCCCGTAAATACCACCAAGGTGGGAGGAAATCACAGGACCAAATGGTGCTCTGACGCTACTGGCACTGAATTTATGCTGATGCAGCCAGCTAGTGGCACAGCACCCCACCAAGAGAGGCTCCACTCGCCCTCCAAGTAGCAGTCGGTTGGACTAAAGTACTAAAATCCTCCCGATGCTGGAAGCCTCCCTGTTTCCCAATGGAAAGTCACGGCCAAAACCGCATCCGGGACAGGGACTGGGGCGAGGATCTTAACACACCCACACACAACAACATGAAAACACTGTGCAAGTGCTCTGGAGCCAGGTATTCTAATTCCAACTTCCTTTTTTCCCCAGCCTGAAAATGTCCCTCATACTTGAGAAAAACAAATGAAAATGCCGCCATGTCTCTTCACAGACCCTGCTGCTCTTTGGAGATGCAACAGCAGCCAACAAGGACAAGTCACTCCTCCCAACAAAGCCCTCCATAGCTGGAACCCCAGGAACCACTCTAGGAAGGAGCAGCACAGTGAGTCACCTGGCTCGATGCCAAATGGGCATCTCCAGTGCAAGGCTGGCACCATTCCAGAGGGTTCAATCTCTTAACAGTCACAGTTTCTCTTCGGTAAGGAAGTCTCCCTCTCAACACGACCAGGATCGCTGCGGCCAAGAGAGCAGCCAGCTTCCTTGCAGCAGAGCTCTTTTCACAGAGGGCAGGGGGACTGGGCACGAGGCATATGCTAATGCCAGCTTCGCTGCAGTTTC